CAGCCGAGTGCTTTTGCTTTATTTTGAATATTCATAGAGACTAAAGTTTGGAGCCACGCCGGCTGAGCCGATCTGTCTCGTCAGTGCTGCCCCCGATGAATATTTCATTTATTTATTAACCGCTGTCGTGAGGCTGCACGAAATAGTGCCGGTGTTTGGGGTGGGGTGTTTGTCCTGTTCCAGCGGAGCGGTGGGAGGCTGCGGTTCTGGTTCTGCCTCGTCTTTTTATTTCCACTTCTTTCTCGTGCAAAATAAAGCAGAGATGTGAGCGCTGTAGCATCCGCTCGATTTCCTGTGAAGATTTTCAGCCTGCTCGAGCACCAGCGTCTCTTGTGGTTTGGGAGCAGAGCGAGTGGGAGGGAGAAAATAGGTAGTGCTGGGTCTAATGAAACAGTAACATCAATTATTCCCCAGCGTGAGACCACTTAAATAAGCTGCAGAGGTGGTTTTACTGTGGGGGAACTATTTGCCAAAAGGCTTCCAGTGAAGAGAAAACCCGTTCCTGACGTTTCCTTTGGTTCTTGTTTGCCTGGAGATGGATTTTTAAAAGCACTTTTTAGTGATGTTTTTGTTTTGCATGCGAGGTTCTGTCTGAGCAGGGAAGGACCAGGCTTCCCAGCGACTAGCAGCCGTTAGCCAAGTCCTGTTTTTGCAGCCTAGGGACTGATCTGTGGCTCCCTGAAGCAGTTCAGGGCTTGGGTGCCACGTGCCCCTCGCCGTGTAATGCCTGAGAACCCACAAATGGTCCTTGGGCTGAAGGGATGTGTTTGAGGTTGTCTGTGCTCATCGGTTGTGTCACTGGGAGATGATGAGAAGCATCAGTTGACCAAGGGTAAAACGCTGTTGTTAACCTGCATTTTTGGTGTTTTGTTGGTTTTTTTTCCCCCCTCTCAGTGGATCTTTGGAGCTCACTCTCCAGTCATAGGATTTTCACCGTCTTCGAGCGTGGAGTTTGTTCCTGTTTTTCCCCCTGTCTACACGTCCACGGTTCCGCCTCACGCTGGGAAAAGCTGGATGGATAAAAGGCTGCCCAGCTGCAAAGTAAGTCTGCTCTTCATAGACTGAAATATTTTTTTAAAGCTGAAGCATAGAAGCTGCAAAACGTTTTGGGGTTTGTAGTTGGTGAAGGGGTCTGTCCGGCGGGACCCCTGGAGGCTCCTCCAGGAGGAGGGGTGTTGTGAGGGCTGGTCGGTGGAGGAGACCACTCCAGCAGCTCCTCACCCTCACTTTTCTCAGGTTTTAAAAAGACAACAGTGTCTTTGATAATCCTTACTGCATGGAGTAGACTGTTTTTATTTTACTATGGGATGTGATGATGAGTTTCCCAGCTTCCCTTTCCTCCCGGGACTCCCGCTGGCTCTCCCCAGAAGTGATGCTGCCACAGCCCCAGGCTGGGGTGTCCCTCCTGGTCCCGAGCCCCCACCCCAGCCACAGTCACCTGCAGCCATACATGTTCCCCACAAAACAACCAGAACGTGGCTCTGAGCCTTCATCCCGCCCCATCCTCACCCCCTCTCCCCAGTTTGGAAGTCCCTGCACGGCAGGGGGCTGGCCCCAGAGCACTGGTGTCTGGGACGCCACTGCCTCCAGAGATCCTTGTCTTTTTGTGATGCTGCAGCAGCTGATTAGTCGTGTTCAAAGCTGGTTAATTTTTAATTAGTCGGCTGAACTCAGCCTACAGCACTGATGGAGTAGAAATCAATCTGTTTTTGCAAGTTTGGCCCCAGCTTGAGCTACTACCTGTGTTGTAATGTCGAGTGAAAGATGCTGTATTCTCACTTCTAGCTCTGAATTTTTGTCTTTCAAACCTTAACGTCCTTTTATTTGCTTATGTTGGACAGATATACTTGAATAATGCGTTTGCCCTGGACTCGCTGTGGATACATCCTGAGGAATCCAGGCTCTTCCAGGGCACTGAGAAACCTCTGCTAATGACAAATCACGTAGCCATGGCTATAGCCAGGCCAGCTGCTGCCTCCAGGCCTCTTCCCACAGTGGTGTTGGCACCTCAGCTGATACCAGGTCAGTGGGACATAAATAATGAATTACTTTTGTTGTGGTGGTGGTTGAAATGCATCTCCTGGAGATGCACAAGTGAGGGTTTCATTCCATCCAGCTGGAAATCTCGTGCTTGATCTGAGCCTGGAGGGCAAAGTGTGTTTCATCCTCTAAATTGCTTTTCAAGAAAGAAAAGGAATTGCAGAAGAGAAAGGAGAGACCGTGTGTTATTCTAGAAGGGTGGAACAGATTATCCCTGAGTGGTGGTTGACTTCTGGAGAGAAGGGACCAGCCCCTCCCAGCACATTGCTTTAATTTCAAATGAGATTGCTGGCACAATTCATGCATAATTCTCCTCTGGGCTGCTGATTTTAAGAGTTTGGGGTGCTCTGTGTGGGTAGCCATCAGCAGAGCAGTTCATCTGTCATCTCGTTTGGAGTGATGCACGGTATTTGTGAAATAAATTCCATTAATCTGCACCCCTCGGGTAGGTCACAGCTGAGCTTTATCCTGGGAAGGGAGCACAAAATACAGCTCAGTGAAGCCCAGACTCTCTCTTTTGGTGCTGCAGCACTAATTTAGAATAGCAGTTGTGGAAAAGGTTGCGAAGTAAAATGCTGCTGCTGTTTAAACCTCTGACTAATATTCTTAGATTCAGAACTGGGCTATTCTGAGGGGTTTGCTGTGAGTTGTTTCTCTGGCTCTTGGGGGGAGGGCGATGTCCATCTGGCTGGCAGCAGAGCCCCCTTGTCTTGGGCCTTGCCCTGTGAAGTGCTGCTTGCTTTGCAGCCATCAAGCACACGGGCGGTTGTCTCGTGTTCTGCCGTGACTGCAGCGATTGGGTGAGATGCTGCTGGCAGAGCTCCTGGCTGCTGGGCTTCAGCTGCCAGCCTGCTCCGTTAGCAGTGATATTGCTCTGTGCTGCAACATGTTGCACCTCTGGCAGCGGTTCCAGGCCTCGGTGTGGCAGCAGCCCTGGCAGGGAGCTGCCCTCTCCTCCTGCCAGCCTCGCCCGACGCCGCTGGGCAGCGAGCTCGCTGCGGGCAGAGCCCTGCCTGATTTCTCTCTGCCTTCCTGGGGGTGCCCTGGGGGGCAGCCAGGCCCTGCCTCCAGGTGGGCACGTGTGGGGCAACGCCTGCTTTTTTTTTTGACGGGCGTGGTGGTGTGTGTGCGGGGGAGCCGCAGCCTGTGGGTTGGGGGGTGTGTGTTTGAAAATAGCGCGAGGTTTTCAAAGGGGTGTTTAAAATATTGCAAGGTTTTAAAGGTAGAATCAAAGAATCCCAAAGTGGTTTGGGTGGGAAAGGAGCAATAGAGCCCATCTGGTCCAGGGAGCAGGGACATCCCCAGCTAGAGCAGGGTGCTCAGAGCCCTCAACCTCCCCTGGGATGGTGCCAGGGATGGGGCAGCGACCACCTCTCTGGGCAGCCTGGGCCAGGGGCTCACCACCCTCAGCAGCAAAAGATTTCCTCCTTCTCTCCAGTCTGAATTTGACTCAATTTGATTTCTGATTGATGCCATTGATGCCAATCCCTGCATGCCAGCCCCTGCACCTCAGCATCAAAAAATTTCCTCCTCCTCTCCAGTCTGAATTTGACTCGTTTGATTTCTGATTGATGCCATCGGTGCCAATCCCTGCATGCCAGCCCCTGCCTGAGCCCAGAGCCCAGGTGCCCAGCAGTGGCATTGCTGCTGGGTGCCAGTGCCCTGTAGCTATAACCAGAAGCTGCTTCTGGGAAGTGTTGTGGCAGCATTTGAAGTATTTCCTGTGTGATCTTGACCCTTAATATGAAGAGTAATAAAAACTCTGAGCACAAACAGCTCAGTGGGGTGGTTCAGCTGAGGAGTGCACAGGCTCTCTGCTGGACAGGCAGTTTGCCACCCCAGTTCTCAGCAAGGCCATAATTGTGTCCTCAGCACTGTTAGAAGGATGCAGGAACGTGGTGTTGGGGTTTGGCAAATGGCAGCACGTGTAACCGAGCAGCTGTGAGCTCCAGGAGCTCCTCCAAGGTGTGTAACCCTAACCCTAATGCTTCTTGTCTGCTGGGGACTGCCTCTTTTGGGAGGAAGCTGGTGTCTGGATGTTTTTGCAGAGAAGGGATGAATATTTCTCTGTGATGCAGAGGAAGCCAGGGCTGGTTTGGCTCAGATGTGCTTGTGTGGTATTTATGTTCCACGTGGCCCCTGGATGTGGTGTGAGGAACACCAGCAGGACCCCTTGGTGGCACCCCTTGGATGGAGTAGCCCTCTGACACGTGGTATTCCGTGATGTTCACTATTACTGATCTCATTCTAAATGTTTGAAGGGGTGTTCCTGCAGTCTGGCATT